TATAGAAGACCATAGAATGAATTAATGTCTACAGCGGCTGCTTAATTTTAGTTGGATGAGCGTTTTTTCAACCTTACTGAACTATACAGACTGCATTGTTTCGGACGGGACGAAAAGGTTTGAATTACACAATAATTAAAATGAACATTGTTCAGAAAAAGGCAGCCCAAACCTAACTAGGCATATTCAAGGCAACTAAATGATGTATAAAGAAATAATTTAAAATGGCGAACCGCCACGCTTAAGAATACTTACGTATTTCACAAGACACCCCTTCATGTCCTTGAGGACAGTAGCAGAGACCGTTTCTACAAATTCCATTATTTTGACACGATGGGACACAGGCCACTGCAACGAAAATGTTCGACTATATTATCTAATTATCAACATGAGCAATTAACTGCCATGTAATATTCCAAACATAGATTATAACACAAGAGTATGATGGGCAATAAACAAACTTGACTTGATTTTACCTTCACATTGTGTCTTAGCACTGTTTGGCATCTGGCCAGACGGACACGTTAAACAACTTGTACTTCCTCTGTTAGGTTGGTATGTATTGCCTGGGCATTCACTACACTTGTCTTGATTTTTATCGTGATAAAACTGAGCGTTGCATTGTTCTGTTAAGGAAAAATATATTTAGAATTATGCAAACTCGTACTAAACTTGGATGACCGCTGTATCATTTAAAAATATTATAATTACTATTTTTAATTATTTTATTCACATTTATAGCTATTCATTGGCTTTAGGTGGTTGTTGCTTTAGGTGGTTGTTGCTGTTGTTGTTGTTGTTGTTGTTGTTGTTGTTGTTGTTGTTGTTGTTGTTGTTGTTGTTGTTGTTGTTGTTGTTGTTGTTGTTGTTGTTGTTGTTGCTGTTGTTGTTGCTGTTGTTGGCTTGATAAATAAAGTAAAACGTACGGCAAGATCCTCTGTTAACAACCGAGCCAGGATTACAGCAAGTTGATGCGACACTTAAACCACTAGAACCTTTAGTAACGTTTGTTGCTCCATACGACGAATACTGCAGCCCTTGAATAGCGGGAGCTTTCTTAGGGTCATTAACTATATCTTGAAATAGATTAGCATTCGCAACACACGTGGCGAAATCCCAACGTCTGTACCCTGCATATACTAAATATTCCAACGATGCTTCGATCGTGTAGCCTGATGACTCAGATACCCGTACAGTCCCAAGTCTAAGTGTCGCTTTTGATCTACATTTACTATTTAATTCTTTTCTCCCGATATCAACAAGTTGTTGCATGTTAGCTCTAGCCTCGGAAACATTAAGTGTGAGGGTATCGGATGATACGGTCCCATACTTGATCGCGATGTTCTGCTTTACACAACTGTCTCGTGCTATTCTGATGCCTAAACGAAAAGCAAAGTTTCTAAAATGAAATGCAGTCGTTTTCCGCTGTACAATAAAATAATAATTCTACAGCAGTTCCTTATTCGTGTAGTTACGAGTATCTACTCCTCATAACCACACTCTAATTAGACTATAAAATAAAACAAATTCCGATGAAATGAATCTTGCAAATCCAAGACCAAGATATGGATTAAAATCAATGGTAAATAAAACGATAAATTTTTGGTCATGATCTTAATTCATATCTTGGATTTGCAAAATGCCGTGTTTTAGTGGCAGTTTACATGATCCCGCTTAACCGAGAAGATATGTGAGGCGGGATATGATTGAAAAATGTTACGTTGCACGATTCAGCAAAACTACATTATTTATCTATAGATAAAATAGTAGTATAATTGTATAAACGCGACAGGTTGTTCAAGCAGCAAGAATAATCTTCTTCAACTGCGAGGTCTTCTCCAAAACATTTGAGTTATTTTAATCGGCGTTTTAACTTTCGATTTATTTCAATCATCTCACCTTCCACCCGTTCCTGCAAACCATGCAAGATTATCTAAAAAGCCCCTTATTTTTTTATATATTCTTTTATCAAATTGTCGGCTGTAAATGGATTTTGGACATTCCAAGGGTAATCTTTTTATAGGATTAGCAGATGAAATAGATTCAATCATACTTAAAATAGTTATCCTGAGTGCATTAATCTCCTGACGTGTAATAGGGATTGACCTTAATTCTTAATACAAGCTTAATATATATAACTTGAATTGAGCCACTATATTCAATAGAACGGGTAATAAATGCAAAAGTCTATTGCAGGAATTGTGGATTGTGCCAGCAAGGTCAGTAACACGCCTTATTTCATGATAATTATTATAATTAAAATGACCAATTTAATGCAAAAGTTTTGGCAAATATTTTTGCGCTAATTATGTGAAAGACCTGACAGGACAACTATATAGTACTTACCAAACTCACAACTGTTGCCAGAAAATCCAATAGAGCAAACACAGCGAAAGTTTGCGTCACAAATTCCTCCATTAAGACATTTACACGCTGTTGAAAATATTAATGTGATATAACTGGGGTTAATATAGTTAATGAAATAACTAGTTTTGAGTACCTTCTGGGAGAATGTACAAAAATATATATAATTAAACATTAAACATCGCATTTTTTCTTTGGTTTTCTTCAGTTTCAGCAGGTGAGTTACCGAAAAAAGTTCTTTAAATTTTATGTTTATCGGCTAAATCTTGTCCGCCTTTGTTATTGACGCGGACGGCAACGTAAGAAGTTTTATCGCGGGTGCATAAGTGTGGCGAAGGGCAGAAGAGTTCGAAAAAACTCACCTGCTCACGGAACCAATCAGAAAGCCGCTTTTAGCACAGGTATGTGATAATGGCATTTATTTTATTTTTACTCTTAGGTTAGCATTATATATGTGCCGACATTTAGAGAAGGTTTTACCTAAAATCCGGACACAGTACTCAGTAGGTTTTTATCTATAAGACGGCAATCTTACACACCTAATATTAGTTTTTTTCTCGCATGATACTCTAGTATTCGAGATCTTGCAAGATCTGATCTTATTTTACAGTATATGTCGATTAAAAATATAAAAACGTAATTTAATTTCGTTCCTGCATGTTTTCGATCCATATACATTTCTGAAGATGTTGATCTTTAGCTAGATTTATATTTTCTGAAATTTTCGGGTGATACATTCTTATATTGATTATTATATAATTGTATTCTACTGCTTGTTTATTTTACTGAAAACATCTTACATGGTGACATGCATTTCAGTCCTATGCATGTTGACCTGCAACACTTCTTGGTCTTTCCACAATCTGCGTCAGTTTGGCATTCATCTGCACAACGTCCAAAACGTCCTGGCCTTGAATATCTTGGACATATTCCTGGATTGACTCCTTGAAAAAAATTTTAGAGTATAAGCTTTTCCATCATATGCATGTGGTTTCTTGGGCTTACATGAAAAAAACAACGTAGTTTCTTGGGTTTACATAAAAAATAAAAGTTTGGCCAAGAACTAGTTGGTTTACATATATGATATAAAAAGGAAGATAATTTTAATGTCTTTAACCCGATGTTTAAGTTCTATTTCTTATCCAAAATCAATGTAGTGCTCATTTACTTGATTGTCTTTTAAAGTTGTTTCCTTGTTCTTCATCAGTAGCTATATAATGAAGATGTTATGATTGAGAACATTCAGTCACCATAAATAAATATTATTGCAAGCTATAGGGGCGTCGCAAGTTGTTTCCATTAACAAAATTGCCATAATAGAACCGTGACTTATGAAGAATCTTTCTTGGGTCACACTCCAATTTTTACTGACGTATACAATGAAACAATCTGTTTATTTCATCTACGAGTCTAGATTAGAAAGGACTTGCCAAGTAATAAAGAATTAATTGCATGCCTATGGCATATTTCGGCACAAAGCCTGGTAAATAAACCACTAATTAAAAGGGCGAGCGATTGCCGTTACTCACGGCTGTATACTAGGCCTACAACCAACATTTCCCTGTATTTTTCCCTGACAAATTATATAAATAAATTTCCTACCGCGATAACTATAACAAACGACGTAATAGCTGTTCCGTATTGATACCGTATAACCAATAGTTGACACCTGTCCATACAGAATATTGCATCCACAGTCCACTATAACATACCTGTCATGCAATCATCACCAGTCCAACCCTCACAACATCTTTCAACCACTCGATATAGAGTCTTTGATACCAAGCGTTTTGTGGGCACAATGATAGTTCTAAAATATTGATCAGTTAATTGACTTAATTGGTCAGTTCGTTCATTTTAGTTCATACTTTACTAATTAAAAAAGATACTGTCGCTCTTACACATTTGAGATATCATTGCAAATATACCCAATAATTTAGTAACTATGTGGCATGAAATGAAAATCGTTTATTTGTCAGCAATTTACATCCACTATAGGCGAAATTTTTCGATCAAATTTCTATTGTTCAAATTCAAAAGAATTCTGTTTAGTTCCATCTGAGAGCTTGTAAAGGCCGTTTTCCACTAAATTTTTCGACCGAATCGAAATTTTCTTTTGCCTTACAAGCACTCAGATGGAACTAATCAGAAATCTTTTGAATTTGAACAATAGAAATTTTGGTTCGGTCGAAAAATTTCGCCTAGTGGAAAACCACCTTAAGTCAGGAGAACAAACCTACACCAACTTGACCATGAAAGACCACCGACTAATTAAATAAAATCTAAATTAATTATAATTATATTAAATTCCTATTTTGCTGGTAAATCTTTCCTCAAAATATGAAACATATGAAGACGTAGCTGCTGACGACTGAAAAATTTATATTAGCAATTATCATATTAGCTATTGAGTAACACAAGCAGTCTCGGTCTTCAACAAGCATGCCTGGAAGTTGATTTTTATTATTTCAATGAGATTAAGATCTATAAAATAGGGTGAGCTGCAGAGACACGCAGGGTCTATGACTATGGCTATGCGTACTTTGGAAGGCTTGGAATGTTCTAGATTATTTTTAGAAGTTAAAAACAAATAAACAATAGACAATTTAAAACCAGGATAAGGATGCAATCACTTTTCACCACCTCTTGGCTTCTATAGCACAATGCCAATGGAGCCTTGCCAAGGACAAAGCATTAACTTAATTAGCTTTTACTAGCCAAGTTAGCCTTTATGTGGGTTGTAATGCTAGCCTTTGCCCCAAGGTAGGGAGACAGTATAGACTGTATAGTCAGACATTTTTGCAAAGGAGGTTCACAGGCTAAGTCAGCCCTGAGGAAGGCAAAGGCAAGGCCGTGAGTGGAGAATACAGAAAAAAGTTTTTTTTACTAGTTTTTCATGGTATTGGAGTCAATATTTGATTGCACTGACTTATACATTAACAATTAAAATTAGCCTGCTTAGAAGGCGTGGTATTAGAGGGTGATAGAGGAAGGTGGGCAATACCTGCTACTCGCAGGCTAAATTTAAATGAGAGTATTTTAAAGTATATGTAGCTAGTAGTTATACTCAATGTAAAAAAATCAATGTAAAAATTGGTATATCTTTTAGTATTTATTATGTTAGTAAAATAGTTCATAATACTGTTTTTGCATTGATTCTCCATGCTTAGCCCCTGTTCTTAAGTACATAAGTACACGTCAGTCTGACTGCATGCATGGATTTTAAAAGTCGTGGAACGTTTGACACAATCAGTCAGGGACGCCGGAACAATGTGAAGGCAAGGGGTGCAGATTTTCGTGAAAGGGTACTTTTGAATTGATATCATACTAAGAGATGTTTGCAAAACTTCGGGAGTTGAACTTCGCCTAATCATGTTTTCTATTTATTGGATCATAGGGGTGTGAGGGGGTCCTCCGCCAGGCGATTGTGCTATTCTTGAAGCTCGATGACTGCATTTCTTGCGTTTTCTGAAGCAAATTCGTAAAAGAATTGCACTAACATTTCTGACAATTCTCTATCTCGCCAAGGCAATTCTTTATATTGAAAGGGAAACTTTGCCCCCTTGCCCCTCCTGGTGAAGGGCAACGGGGGCGGCTGCCCCTCCTACCCCCCACCAGTTCCGGCATCCCTGCAATCAGTGTTTTCAAGTGTTCATAATCTGAGTTAATTTAGATTCCATATTTCAGTCAAAATAATCGGTAACTGTTCAAGCAATCAAGCCAATATAACAAAGAAATTCCATCAGTTGATTAGTTGTATACCGTTAAATTTAAAATTGTTCCGACATATTGGAGCATGTGACGTCAACTCAGACTCAAAATAAATACTTTAACTTAAGTTGTGACATGTTAAGTGATATTACAATCATAAGAATAATATCCGTAGACTTTTTAAAACGTAGCCTGCGAGCAGGCTCTCTGGGGAAAGAGAGCCTGCAAGGATCCCGATGATGATTCGGTGCATGCGTCCAATATTTGGACGCAGTGCTCTGATTGGTTGATAACTGATTCATATGAAGTGATTGACAAGCTTCCATAAACTTGCACTTCCTGTTTGTAAAACCGAGCAATGCAAAGCTTCGGAATTGCGGCAATGTAGAGATAAAAGTGTCATGTATTTTGATCCTGGTTGACTTTTTACTGTAAATTAATATAGTATTCATATAAAGACGAATACTAAAAGCTTGCATGCTTTATTGTGTCCTTGGCTTGTCTGACTCCTAAGCCAAGAATAATTCTTGAGAAAGACTGCACAAATTCGCAAACCGAAACCTAGGGACAAGGCATTATATCGCTTCTCTTTTATGAAACAATATTGGGAATTCTGATAATATTCAGTGCATATTGTGTGTATTAAGCTTGTTTTACAATGTTATACTGACTATTTAATATTTATAAGTATGCGGCGTTTAAAATGTACAGTAATTTACTCGTCACTTTGTTTACAATAATTATCACATGCATGTTTACTGCAATTCCACTTTTTGTTGCAAAATTTGAACTATAAACATATTGTTAAATTATGTCCAATGTCCATGGTATATATATAATATATGTCTATGTCTCACCAAAGCCATAAATTTCAGTAAGTTATATTATTACTATATATATAAACTGTATACAGTGTATATTATATATTGCAGCACGAAGCAATTCCAAATAACTGAATTAGTTAGCGGGTAATATACAACTTTAAACTTACTGTGCCTACAGGAGAAACACATGCAGATTGTAATAAAAAGTACAACTTGATATATTACTCTGTAAAACCTCGAGCCGTTTTAACTTTTTTAGTATTACCACAGTGGCGGTCTGTATACGAAACTATTAACGAATTTGAAACGAATCGGTTTATGTTTACAATATCGTAGTGTATTCCGGTCTGCGCTGATTGGTTGTTATTAATTGACCTGTGACATCATAATTGAAGGGCGGCACGCAATCATCATAGGAATCCTTGCAGGCTCTCTTTCCCCAGAGAGCCTGCTCGCAGGCTATTTAAAACGTATCCTTTCTTACTATTTGGTAAAGCCATTTTACTTTTAGCCGGTATAACAAATGTCCATGATCGCTAGAATTAGAACCCCCCCCCCCCGCTTCCCCAAGCAACATCGCTGAGCAATGTCGAACACAGGATGTGACATGTACAGGTTGGAATTAGAGCTGGGCAAACTGTTATGTCAGAGTGCTAGCTGTTATGTCAGGAAACGATGTAAACTGATTTTTTCACCGTAATGGAAACTCGTGATTACAGTTATTTCAATTAAGTTTGTCCTGACCACGAGCAAAGCGGAAAAGTCGAATACGAGCGCGAAAGGCTGCTGGGATTAATCGCTTTGAAAATTCATTAATTTGTTAACGATTCCCAGCAGCATTTCGCGCTCGTATTGGACTTTTCCGATTTGCACGTTGACAACCTTAATTGAAATACAGTAGCTGTATGCACTGAACATGCAATACTACACTACATGTCTTCACAATGCTTGTTAGATCATTTCCACCAAAATATGGACGTCATAACTAAGCCGCTAAATAGAATTTTTAATGGATTGAAACTATTACGAAAAAATTCCTGAAACAATTAAACTGACTAATGTGACAATGTCTACAATTCAAAGATGTATAACAGCAGCTATTCAATAATAATATAATTGCGTGTATTGCAACTAACAATATCAATTACCCATAGCGCGTATAAATACCTAAGAGCATTCCTCGTTACCTAGACGTAGCGATTTGGGTGTGGTTGGGTGGGAGAGCATGAGGGCGCAAAAATAACACAACCCTGTATTCATTAGATAAATAGCATTATAGTACCTATACTTAAAATCATAGGTAGCCCAAACACACTGTGCGATTTAAATTTAAATGCTTGGCATACTTAATTACCCCATGCGGTATCGATTTCAAAATAATAATGTTGACGATTAGCTTATAAGTATTCAGAATTTTTACACTAAAATGTATCACTAATCAATACTTATCGTTGAAGGAAATATACTTAGGTACATAGCATGCGCATGCATCAACATAAATAGTTTATACCTTTAGTAGAAGCACTTGAAATCCAGCTTTAAAACCATGACATTCACGGCGACGCGGCGGAGGAAGGGAAAGGAGACAAGGTTGGCAACATCCATTGGCCAAGCTGCACGTATCACCATAAACAAACCCGTCTAACTCGACAATACGGAAAGCTCAGCCGAAAATTCTACAACAGCTGATAAAACAACTATCTTGCTTTACAACAATGTAGTCCTTTCAAAATTTGAAAGTTTCCCTTTGCAGAAATTTCACTTCAAACCACAGCCTCCATACAAAATTTACGATGTGACTGGGCGCAAGGTAAACAAGGTTCACGGACGGTAAATTTTAAATTTAAATCTCGCGCCTAATTGGATAAAGCGGTACGACCTTGCGAGACGTCACTTGATTGAATTACGCTTATCCAATTAGGCGCGAGATTTAAATTTAAAATTTACCGTCCGTGAACCTTGTTTACCTTGCGCCCAGTCACATCGTAAATTTTGTATGGAGGCTGTGGTTTGAAGTGAAATTTCTGCAAAGGGAAACTTTCAAATTTTGAAAGGACTACATTGTTGTAAAGCAAGATAGTTGTTTTATCAGCTGTTGTAGAATTTTCGGCTGAGCTTTCCGTATTGTTGAGTTAGACGGGTTTGTTTATGGTGATACGTGCAGCTTGGCCAATGGATGTTGCCAACCTTGTCTCCTTTCCCCTCCTCCGCTGCGTCGCCGTGAATGTCATGATTTTAAAGCTGGATTACAAGTGTGTCTACTAAAGGTATAAACTATTTATGTTGATGCATGCGCATGCTATGTACCTAAGTATATTTCCTTCAACGATAAGCATTGATTAGTGATACATTTTAGTGTAAAAATTCGGAATATTTTTGAGCTGATCGTTAACATTATTATTTTGAAATCGATACCGCAGGGGGTAATTAAGTATGCCAAGCATTTAAATTTAAATCGCACAGTGTGTCTGGGCTACCTATGTTAAAATATCATTAATAATTCATAAACCTTGTGGCAAATCATGTCAGTCATAATATGTCATGTGAACTCGTGGAGTAACTTTAATATCTGATAAAACTCATCTGCATTAGTATATTCTTCATAAAATTGTTCATCCTAATTAGTATTATTATATAATTGTTCATCCTGATTAGTATTCTTTTGTAGTCCTATTTTAAGCTATATATTGAACTAAAACACTCGGCTGTGCCTCGCATTTTGTATCTGATAAAACACTTGTGCTCGTGTTTTAAATAGTACTTAGTTAATATGAACACGGTTTGTGATGGAAACAGAAGTATGTTCGTTCTTTAGAAATATAATTTCTATAGTTTATTGTCATATTTAATCAGCCAATTACAAGGCCTATATGTTCACATCATAGGTCGGTCTGACCTGCCGGCATATTTGCTTATTTTCGCGTCTAGAAATTTTCGGTCAATTTATCACTAAAACAGATGCGAAGTTTAAATTGGAACTGGTAACTAGAAACTTGTCCTCATTCACATTCAGTCGGACAAATAAAGACGAGTTGTCCAGCAATGCACAGAAATATACTGATATTAAAATTATGTGGTCGAGTGCGTTGAAAGTGACGGAAAGTCGGAAATCTAACTCCGGAAAAACAAGGTCGGAACCAGGGCGCTTATATATATATATATATATATAATGACAATGACAATTTAATCTGATTCAGTACATATATATATATACATATATATATATATATATATATATATATGAATGTGAATGGTGTGCAATTGAACACACTCCTTGGCACACACATCAGTTTATCGACAAATTATTACATGCCTCAATTAAGCTGCAATGCGATATATATATAGATATATAGATATAGATATAGATATATAGATATATAGATATATAGATATATAGATATATATAGATATATATATATATATATATATATATATATATATATATATATATATATATATATATATATATATATATATATATATATATATATATATATATATATATAGTACAATCTGCAGACATGCATGTTTCGGCGTTCAACGCCTCGTCAGTGCAGCTTGGTACACATCTAGATACGTGAGACACTCGTATTTATACCCCCATGAACTTGCTCTCACCAAGGCATGTGGTACAACACGGTGACTCAACGCATCCAGACATGCGCAGAGCGTAATGGGGCCAGAGTGCTCCAAACGACCACAAGGGAAGTGAGCTTTGCATATATATATATATATATATATATATATTAACAGAGAATCCTTGCCGACATTTTCAACCTTGGCACAGCCACAGACCTCTATCTCTACGACCGTTAGCATGCATGTCTAAAACACCCGATACTCTTTCCTAAAGCATATCAAGACAAGTTTTCATCTTAAATTATCTCAGTCTATGACAAGATTCGCGTCTCTAATGTAAATTCTGCGATTAAAATTTAGTAATATTCATGCAGTATTAGAACTTAACCAATACAACAGTAGTGTCAGAATAGCATTGTATTACTCGAACTTCCAAGCGGGAAAAAACTGTTCGAGTTAGCGGAGGTTCGAGTTGGTATATGATGATAATTAATAAGGTCTAGTCGTTTTATTATTCATCACAATTGTGAGCCATTACGGTGACTCTATAAAACACGTCCAAAGTTTGTGCTAGTGTTACCTAAGTTAGACAGTCACTATCACTGTGTTTAGCAGTCAAGTGCCTACCAACATGCGCCGTACCGGCCTATATGTAAGCTAAATTTGTAATGATCGACGCAACTTGTTGAACTTTTTATCTCTTCATTGACTTGTATTAGCCTATGTTTGTATATATTATGTATTGATTAAGCTGTCGTTGTCTGAATAGAAACTATGATAGAGATCCAAGCTTCCGACTTGTCGATGTGCCATCACTGCCATGTTTTGACATTTTGTACTTTGGCTCAGAAATAATGAGTTCGAAGTACGTGGCCGGGCAAATTTAACCGTGGGTCTAAGTTAAGGTGGCTCAATACTGTTTTAATTTAAAAAATTGAAAATTCACGATTTAGTTACATATTTTTGGACAATTATTACTTGTTGAAAAATGAAAAATATAAAACAACATCTAAAGAATATTTGCACAAACGTTACGCAACTGCCGTTGCTATGGCAGCAATGACATTTCAAGATGGTGGATATTTTGGCTTTAAAGTAATTTAACTCGTAAACGTCATCGATGACCCCAAAATTTTATTTCTAAAAATGATTTGTCTTAGTATAATCAATTATTTTGAAAATTTTTCGAAAAAAATTATAATGAATAAACGCCTTTATGTAATTTGAAAAATTTCAGCTCAACAGAATTTTTTTAAAATTGGCAAGGTAATTCATGGGTCTACTATACCTAATATGCGGCATGATACCTGATGTAATCAATATTGGCCACCATATTTCACATACGTGCATGTGTCATTATGATGAGGTTGGCCGTATAAAAAATTGATGAGAATGTATCGCTTCAAACGTACACATTGAAAAAATAAAACCCCAAAAACTATTCAAATGACATCCATAAATTCCTTTAAATTTCCAGTAAAAAGACAATATTGAGCAAAAGAACATGCACCCTGTCCCTGGCTTGACCCTGCTAAAATCCATTGTGTTGTCTAGAGCGCACTGCGCACCATGCACTAATGGAATTATGTACTGAACATTTTTATAATATTATTATACCTAATTGCAGTAGCTTTTAACTGCATTCCACTGGCAGGGATGAACGGCTGGGAACAAAACATGTTCAAACATGTCGAAAATGGGGGCGTTAAGTGGAATTTTAAGGTTGGAGTTCACTGCGGATGTCTGGTGCAAAACAGCACGCATTCATATTGCGAAAACCTTGCGCTTAGATTAATTTACTCGAGCACTGTTACAACACTTAACATGACGTGTATGCGACAAGGAAGTGATGCAAAGTCAGATATTGGCCGTTCGATTTAGTTTAATCCACTTTGTATGGACACACGAACGATTAAATGTATATGCTTTGGCAGTCTGTATTTACAGTATTTTAACGAGACCATAATACTTGTGTCAATAGACTATTTGGCTTATAAGCCACCAAATTGTTCTTGTAGAATTTATGTCATAAGGTATTCGTAAAAATCTATAACGTCAGTTAAAATAATTTTAGTATAAATGATTGCTGTTGAAATTGCATTGACATCGTATTGTATTTAAATTGGCTGCATGGTAATATTTCGAAAGTATGCTAATTAATTTCTATTTTTGTATATTTTGCGGGGAGATCAAGACTAGCCGGCTGAGCACATGAGTTTCCTGTTTCATAAAATAACAGGCAACAGCTTAAAGGGGCAATGTCACCGATTTTTGACCTAAAATACCGTTTATTCAAAAGCTGAACTACAAAGTTAAAAATAAACATTGTAAATGGATTAAGTTATGATATATGAGTCATATTAAACAACTTTGAACTTCCACGAAACATGTAATATGACATTTTCATAAAAAATGACTAAAACTTGAAAAGTGTCTGCCAACAATTAATCAAGATGCCATTTACAATCCATCTCAATCCTGGCGTAATCTTGCCCATCCAGACTTCTGTACATGTTTTTTGTGTCTGTTATTGCTTTATTTTATGCTTACACTCATTTTTTCCCAGTTTTGGGCAAAATTTGCGATGGTTGGAATTGCCCAAAAATCGGTGACATTGCCCCTTTAAATGCAAACAAAGGCTAAAAAATTAAACACGGTCGATCAACAAAGATAGATCAAAATTTTGAAATATTATATAAGCTTAAGCCATACCTAAATACTTCGCACATGTCCCTTTTATTCCTCTTTCCCAGACTTCCTTCTAAGTCGGAACACGGAACCTGGAAGGACTTTTTTACAGTGTTGTTGAAAACCTCCTCTAATTCAACTGTGTATGGCTCGCTGAATTCACAAAAATTCGGCTTTCTACTCGCAGCAGGAGAACTTTTCCTTCCATCCGAAACATCACTGGCCATATCTGTCAGTTTGTCTAGCTCGTTCAACCTATTTAAAAATCAGAAAATTTTTACTCTAAAAATTAAAGTAGCAAATATATATGTGTTAAAACTTATAAAATTAAAAATGTCAACATATGTGCTTGAGTGTCAATTCGATCGAGGATTTAGAGTTGCTATTGCAAAGGCCAATATCAAACATGTATAGTCGTAGAACTAAATAATTCAAAATATTTTTTAATACTCCTCTATAATTCTTATAAAATTACTCCGTCATGCTGCATTTTACAGGTTAAATGCGGTATATGACACAAATCCAGCAAAGATGTCAAAACATCTATATGCGCAGACAGTACCTAGTTCCGCTTGATATAGTTTGAAGATTTAATGCACTGCCATAGTCCGAAAAATGTGATTTGCTAAAATATTTGTGACTCATTTCTTATAAAATCAAATATCATACAAAACTGCAAATTACAAATAAAGATCTACTTACAATAATAATTCTTCTTCTACATCGTTGGTTTTCCCGATGGTAAAAACGAAATATGATACAACTAAAAACAAAAGATACGTTCTCTCCATAACCAACATGGTTTAGGTGCCAATGGCACAACACTGTATTCGAGAGCTTTGAAGTTGAGCCTTCTGCCTTGCTTCTCTTCACCTTTCGAGGTAGAACTGATATAAAAGGTCGAAGCTTTGAAAACCTTGCCTCACCAGTTCTAGATAATGAAGTGCTTGGAAATATAAACCACTAATATACCCCCGTCCGACGGATGTCAATCAACTACACCCAGAGGAGGAGTGAGGGTCTTCCCACAATGCATTGCGTCTCATTATTATTCACAATTACGATTTTTGGCAAACGTTAACGAAAAAGTTGTTGAAATATATTGCGATTTTTGTCTCTGAAGATCTCGTTTTTTCGAAGGTATGTGATGATAATTGTTTTGTTTGGACATCTAATTAAACAGTTTTATATTTTTTTGGTATAGATATTGCTTTTTAGTTATGCTAATTACGCATTGTATTTATGCTTGTTTCGGGTCAATGGACACGCCAAAAAAATGGCTTTGAAATAACGCAGGAGCGAACTACCTTTTTTAATGAGAAAAGTTAAAAAAAACACGTCATCAAAATCAGGAAGACTTGCTCTTTCTGTTGGTTCTTTAAAACGCTAGATCGCTCCTCCAAATCGACAAGCAATCGCGGTTTGAAAATGGGGTATTTTTGCTATATTTTAATGCCGATGGCGGGAGTAGACCGGGTGTTGATCCTTATGGCGCGAAGGAAATTATTTTCGATATCTTTGAAACATACGCATGTAGTTGTTACATATTTTGAGTGTAATGTTACCTTTACAATTAAGGTCAGAATGTTAGTTTACTGTATTGACTGTATTTTTGGGCATGTAGTAAAACACTGACTACCGGAACACCACCCACCGGAACACCGGAACACCACCATTTTGTTTGGGGTTAGGGTTTGGGATTAGGGTTAGGATTGGGGTTAGGGTTAGGATTGGGGGTTAGGGTTAGGATTGGGGGTTAGGGTTGGGGTTAGGGTTAGGTGGTGTTCCGGCGGTGTTCCGGCGGTGTTCCGGTAGTCAGTGTTTTACTACATGCCGTATTTTTGTCATTTTGTTATAGAATTCGGACATGGAATCATGCAGATAGTAGTGATGTTGTCATTGTTAGTGACGAATGAAATGATACTGCCATATTAAAAGCGAGTATATACGAGGGTATATACGTCTAAAGGTGATACCCCAGGGAAACCTAATAATAAGAGACACAAAATTTCACGTTTGAAGAATTCAACATCAAGTCGAAGTTTGTTTCAGAGTCCTGGAACATCACCAAAGGTATAAAAGTACAAAGGTTTTTACAAACATAAAATACAGTACGACTGTACAAAAACATTGTATTTTAAACTCTTTAAGTGGCAATACGCCCAGATGCACCCTACTTTAGTATTTTACTCTGTCTAACGCTAGACCATTTTACTCCTCAAGTGGAGAGTGCTGCCACTCAATGGGTTAATGAGACAATGAGATGTTAATGGGGGGGGGGGCTAAAAGTTATTATCATAATAATAATAACATTTTGCCTGTGAGAATTTCTGTCCATAGGCGTACGAGGCTGGGGGTTGCAACCCTCCAGTCAGTGTTCAGTTGGGCAGGATTCTGCTTTAAAAATTTGGCAATTGTTTTAAGATTGACTTCAAACAGAATTTCTGCAAGTCTGCATAGGAGTTATGTTCCTTCTATTTTATACCTCTTGTTCATCTATAAATAAACTCATGACAATGTCAGGCAATTTCTGTCCACCCGTACGCCAATGATATTTTTCAATGATATTCAGATATTCAAGATCTTGTGTATATGAAATTTAGAATCTTTGGCCAAGCGGTGAGTAAATATATGATTGTTTCGGTTTGTGTAATGTTCAGACGGCACTTGACCCCCCGTTTGAAAGGTTATTTTGTGAGGATTACAATGGTGGTATTTATTTAAAAGGGGGGTAAATACTCGCCGAAATGTTTATATTAGAAAAATTGTGTCATAATATGATGCGAAAGGGGGTGGTCGAAAAGGAGTTAAGAAATGTAATGAATTGATGCAATTATAGTATATTTCATCCTAGTCTAGGACCTGTATATGAGTTTGTATGCATTTCATTTAGGACAGATAATCTCAACTGTTTTAGGGCAAGTTGACCATGACGGTCAACATGGTAACGCTGCCCGAACCCCAATCTGGGACGAAACGTCCGAAACTGACCACACCCAAAAACAATGCTTTCGCCATACTGCTATCTACCAAACCATAAAAGCTTTGGCTATTCTGAGGTGCTTATATGGTTCAGAGATGGTACTTTTGGTAGTGGTCATTGGTAACTGTGAAATGCCTAGCACGAAAAATTTCACAAGAAAATGACCATGCAATAATCATAGTTAAACGTCAATTTGTGGCTTGCAACTTCAGATAAACAGCAGTGGACGTACATTACCTTTTTCCCTAAATCTTTTTGATAGAAACATAATTGGTACTTATTTAAATATATTATCACTGGTTTGGTGTAAAATAGTTAATATTTTCTGACGGAAATAATAATTTGAAATGTGCCTACCTCCTGCAAATGGACGTATTTGGCCAAGTTCTCCACTTTACTCCGCTGTTTATCGGCGATCTCGTCGACATCCTACAAAAATGTAAATCATCTCAGACATAATGGTATCAAGAACATTTTAAACAAGTTTCAACTTGGTTTCAAGTAGATCATACCTGTTTAACCATCGACAAGGTAAATCCACAACTTTGTCCCAATTCGGCGCCATTTTGTCATCCCATGTCGGTTGTCAACGATTCGGCCTTATTACTCTTCCATCCAAGCCATTTCCATTCCACTAATAATAAATTTAACCCTTTATAACGGTAGGAAACTAAAAAATCTAAACAAAATATAAGAAATGCGCCATTTTATCACCCTGTAAAGTGTTGTTTACGAGTCCTTCAAAACATTTCGTACAAATCTCGCGTGGTTTAGCAACAGGGACTTGGCAGGGGAGGTAGAGACTTGAAAAATGAAAGGAAAGCCCACACAGTATCCAACAATCAACATTTAATTTGTATGACTTTTTCATATTAATAAATAATAATATGTATATATTTGTCGCTACAGGAAATAAAACAAACGTTTGTATAATTGTATTTAGCTTTTAGTCTATTTCACGCAGAGTTCTTCTACCTTAGTGAAATAATTCACCCCCTCCTATCACGTCCCTGTTACTTTGTCACGCGATATTTGTACGGAATGTTTTGAAAGACTTGTGTGCAAAATTTTACAGGGTGATAAAATGGCGCATTTCTTATATTTTGTTTAGATTTTTTAGTTTCCTAACGTTATAAAGGGTTAAATTTATTATTAGTGGAATGGAAATGGCTTGGATGGAAGAGTAACAAGGCCGCATTGTCAGTGGCGTAGCTAGCGAAATTTGACTAGTCCTGCTCTAAGACCCACCCATTCTAGAGGGGGTCCGGGGGCATGCTCCCCCGGGAAATTTTGAATTTTAGAAGTCTGGAATGGCCATTTCCTGCGATTTCACGGCGAAATACTCCAAAGGGATCATCAAAAAATTGCGTGATTAGCGGAAAATATTTGATAATTTTTTTAGAAAAAATATTTGCAACTTTTTGAAACCAAGCATTTTTTTATCATATTTCACTATATATTTTCAACTTAACTGAAAATATAATGTGGGAGGAAAAGACGAAAATATCATGTATACAATACGCGTCTGTAATACGATCATTCACGTGATCAACACATAATCCAACCTCACATAATCAACAATTGCGTAACTATTTATATACTATTGAACACGGCGTTTTATACACTATAGCGCTATGGCTAGCATTTGTTAAAGAATCACTACGTTTGTTAGTAATGTGTTATAAAACTTTATATAATGGAGTGGTATCAACTACAGATCACTACGCCTGGCACTCTGAATGTAATTCAGTACGCTATGGTATTAATATAGCTAGCGTTTAATATAGTCTATGCGGCCAAATATCTACATAAACAGTGTGAATTGGTACAGTATATCATTTTTAAAATTGAACTCAATATAAGTGCTCGTTTCAAATGCAGAAAGCAGATGAACTGGCAGTAAATATTACGTTCTTACTTTATATTAATACGACGTACAGGCTTCCCAAATGAAGTTTGTATTCCCTGTTATATTGTATTATAAAAATACACAATCATCAGTCGAGTCTGTTCACATGCATTTCGTGAGCTAAAATATCTTAGCAGAAGCCAGAAATTATATCAAAATCACATTGGGCCTTCCACACTCGTTGATTTCAATATTAATCACATGAGTAATCTCGACAGAATTAGTAAAAAGTGGGTTTAGTCACGCGGAAAGCTCGCAAGTAAAGACAATACAAGGCCAAGTCCTGCCATTTCGAGAGAGCAGGACTTCGCATTTGTAAACAGTCGGTTTGAGCATGCGCAGACCTAATTATCCAATCAGAAACCAAGATTTCTTGTATGAATTTACTATGAAATATACTAGCAAGTCCTGCCATTTGAAAATGGCAGGACTGAAATACGAGTCGCGTGTAAATCAATGTAGAGTTGCAGTTGCTAGGTAACAGACACGGCAAGCTATAAAATTGTGTAAATATAACAGGGGCCGGTTGTATAAAACTCTTAATTACTTTTTAATCACTATTTTGTAGTTAAATAGTGATTAACTGTCAAATACGCGCTTCTTATTGGATGACGTTTCCACTAACTATAGTTAACTTTAATCACTTTTTTATACAACCGGCCCCAGAATGCGAAAAACTTATAAAAATTAATAACGAAAAAGACGAGAAAATGAGACAAAATAACAACTGATAATGATAAATTTTTAAAGCTTCAAGATAAATAAAGCAATGTTTTAGTAAGGAAATTTTGGGAAATTTTTAGTCCTGCTGGGCAGGATAAGCAGGACCGCTAGCTACGCCACTGCCGGAATTGTTGACAACCGACATGGGATGACAAAATGGCGCCGAATTTGGACAAAGTTGTGGATTTACCTTGTCGATGGTTAAACAGGTATGATCTACTTGAAACCAAGTTGAAACTTGTTTAAAATGTTCTTGATACCATTATGTCTGAGATGATTTACATTTTTTGTAGGATGTCGATGAGATCGCCGATAAACAGCGGAGTCAGGGCCGTTGCGAAGGGATATGGATTGGGGGGGTGTCGAAGGTCAAATTGCCGAGTGACGCTATAGTTGAATTTGCCGAGTTTTTCAAAAGTTTGTAAAGGTTAGATATAGGTAATGAGAATCATATTGGTGTGCTAGTAACTGAGGGACACCAATATGGCTCTTGTTTTGAAATGGATGCCTGTTCGTGGGTTGTTGCTAAAAAGGAATCGGGTTGCTTTATATATAAAATATGACATTCTAAGAACAAACAAATATAAGGTCACGAAATCGAAACACACAATTGCAATAACTGCAACCACAGCTCAATGATGAGCACTATTTTATTTTCGTGCGTTTGTTTTCAGATAGGAGTATTATTTTAATTTATTTATATTAAACATATAAAGCTGAAAAAATTTAAATTTAACATAATTTATACTGTGTTTTCACTATAAGTCCTATTAACATATAAAGCTGAAAAAAATTTAAATTTAACATAATTTATTTATACTGTGTTTTCATAAGTCCTAAATCGAAACTGAAACTATGTGCACACGGGTTACGTTTTTGAGCGTTTTTGGAGTGCCGTTTTCAAATTTAGCGTTTAGGCGTCTTGTAATTCACATTGATCGTTTTTCTCGCAACATTTTCTGACAAAGCACTAGTTTTTTATAGTCTTCGTTTCCAAATTCAAACACGGAATTTCATTTTCGCCCTCTATACTTTCCTGTTTACACAATAACAAAGTGCCAAAACGACCAAACGTTTCAGACATAGTGAACGAATTTTTGGCATCGTTTTCACTATTTGAAACGTTTTTGCTTGCTGACGTCGCTTTCATACGTTTTCGCGTGAACAGAACGTACGTGAAAATGGTACTTTCAGTTTCAGAAATTAACGCATTACAACCAAAAACCGAAAAACGCTCGGAAAGCGACGGAAACGGTACCGTGTGCATATAGTCTGAGTAACGAGTGTCTTAGACTGTGGTGCAGACGCGCATCTCCACAAAGTTAGAAAAGTTATCCAAGTATTACCCTGGTTCCAGAGGTTTATTTTTATTATTTTCATTGCGAAGGGGAGGAAAAATAAACCTCTGGTTGAAAGCGGCCGAATTGATTCATTGAGCCGCGCCAATCAGTTTGAATTAGGGTCAGATCCTGACTCTGTCTCCTGATTGGATGATCGTATTAAAGCTCTCTGATTGATTATAGATGTTCTATTTGAACCAATCAGAGAACTTTAATACAATCATCCAATCAGGAGACAGAGTCAGGATCTGACCCTAATTCAAACTGATTGGCGCGGCTCAATGAATCAATTGCCGCTTTCAACCAGAGGTTTATTTTTCCTCTCCCCTTCGCAATGAAAATAATAAGAATAAACCTCTGGAACCAGGATATCCAAGTATCTGCATGTGATTGCATTGATATTTTGTTTCAATATTCTCATGGCAATTTGATGAATTTGACTTTTTTATCCCCAGGCGCCGAATAGACAATTTATATTTTTTGTATTTTGAGCAGTCTTAAAACTCTTAGTGCCGGATAGTGTTAACTGGGCTTTTGTACGACCCGATTTTCCAAGAGTTTAAATTTTATGCGTCAGGAAGCGAGTCAAAACGGATATGATCATATGCAACCGATCAATGATACCGATCGCTGTATGCGGTATGTCTTTCAAAACTGTAGGCTGATCAGAGTTAATAGTAATTTCGCTAAAGAACTAAAGAAGACAAGTCCGTCTTATGGCATGGCTTGTCTTTCTCTTGGCCTTCTTCTCATGTGCCTGTGGAGTCTTCTTGAAGATCTTTCGCCTCTGACGACTCAAAATATTCTCTTTGGCTTTGACTGCGCAGTCTGCGCTTTGTAGTCTCAAACGGATTAGCTGGTACGTCTTTATGTGCTACTCGCACTCGGTTTCCCTTATGGCAAGTTTGCTCGTGCCTCTTACGGTAATCGTCGGGCCGTATGTCAGATAACTTCTATAGTCGGCGAAAGTCGAATTACATTCAAGACACTAAAGTTTTAGTCTTTTTCTTTTGGGTTTTGGACCGCGCATAATTGATAAAGAGCCTTCGCTATAAGAGCAGTCGAGCGAAGAACATGCCCGGAAACGTGAGTTTCACATTTCAGCCTCCCGTCGATTTTCGACAAATAAGACTAATAGTATTACTAGAAAATAGAAATACATTTAAATGGTTTTGACATAAGGCCACACAAACCATTATATTAAATCCAAAATTTATCACTTTATTTATCGCCCTCGTTCTTAACTTTTACGTAAGCAAAATGTAGGGCCGATCTGTTCTATAAAAGTGTTTCATCAAACTTTCAGAAGATTTATGAACTATATATCTAGTAATATTTGGTCTGTAAAAGAAGTCTGGTACACTCACATGCACGCATTGATCAAAACATATATAATTTGATCCTAAAGAAACGTCGAAAATGTGAAGAGACTTGGTTTTGTACAGTCTTTAAAAACGTACGCCTCAAATGGAAAAAATATTGTAGTGTCACAATTTTAAAACAATGCGTTAAGTACCTCCTCTCCCAATTTACACTTTGTTGTTGGTCATTCCCCTCCGTGTCCAAAAAATGTTCCAAGCATAATAGGAGTCGGGCTATAAGTTCTTTAACATGCATGGGCTTATACTCAACGATAATTTCGCCTTTTGTTAAACGTATTCATCCGTTTAAAATTGATAGATTTTTATTTTTCTTTCATTTCAGTCAAGTCGACCAAGCACCAATCATGAATGTTCAATTTTTTCTAGCTCTGGTTATTGCAGTGGGGTTTGTAGCCGGTCTCGAAGCGAAGTGCTGCAAGAGAAAAGGACCTATCTGCTGTGGAAATGGCAAATGCGATGCGCTCTGCTGTAATTGTGATGGTGGATGCAACGCACATTGCGAACTGGCCGACGTTAATGGCTGTAGCCCGTTGCAGTGGTTAGAATGTGCGGGCATTGTGGCAGCATGTGCAGTTGCTTGCGCTGATCCTGAGGATCCGTTGTGTCGTGAGTGCCTCGGTCCGATGTATGACGTATGTGTGGGTTGTCTTTCACTGGACGTTGATAGACAAAGAGCTCTTGATGACACCAAATACATGTTGGATGCTTATCATAAGAAGATTTTACCCTATAATATATACCTTGGAGAAATATTGAAAAGAGCTGAAGAGAAGTCAACAAAGAAAAAAAAAACGAACTTTAAGTAATAAATATTTCAAACATTAACTTCACTTTGTTAACATGCATGATTCTCGCAGTAACATTAAGGATATTAATTATATAAGCTAAATAAAAATCTTGTATTTTTAGCATTGGCATGCAAATAGTATATATGCAGCTCATCATTTATCTTCAAGTAGAATGTAACCATTTAGGCGGCCGGCCAAAACCTAAAAATGTGCAACAAAATTTGTTTGATGGCATTTTCTGTTATACAAGCTGGCGACTGACATTTTCATAGAGTATACATGCATTAACGAACAAGACTAGATATGTTGGCAACTCTAATTTTGGCTTTATATAGATGAAAATTTGAGAATTTGAAAATTTTGCCTATAAAAAGTACTATAATGAGAAAAATGCAAAATTACAAATTCACTTTTAACAAAAATAAACTATACCGTTAAGAATGTTCGCCAAGCAGAAACTATATATACATGCATGTAAAATATTTAAGCGAGTTGTATGATTTTCGTAGCCAATTTTGAGCTTTTAACACTCGAAAATGAAGAAAATGCGGCAATTGATGCCGATATAGTTACTATTTTGCCAACTTTAAGCTTCTTTAACTCAAAACTGGCTTGAAAATTCATGCACACTACTCACTTAAATGTCTTATATGTATACTTTTCTGCGACCTTTCTCGTGGTATAGAATATTTTTGTAAAAAGTAAACTTGAAATTTAATTTGGATTTTTAGTCAGCATAGTACTTTATAAGGCAAAATTTTAAAATTCTGAAATTTTCAACTATATAAAGCCAAAATGTGCCAAGGTGCCAACATATATAGTCTTGTTCACCAATGTGTAAGCTATAAGACAAGCAAGTTAGTAGCTTGTAACAAAAAATGCTATCAGAGTGTATACCTTTCAGATTAATGTTGGCCGGTCGTCTAATTGTAATTTTGGGTGACTGCGTAAACATAAATAATCAATCAGTACTTTCTATAAACCATGACTATGTCTTACACTAATTTCGAGGATTCGAAATTCTCTTAACACGCCTTATATTGTGTGGTTAAAGTTTTTCATACGGAACTCGTAAATCATGTTAATTATGTTTATGCGGCTTTGGGGGAGGAAGGTAAAACAAACATATATAAGAACACGAGCATTAATGACTAATAATAATGCAATGCTTGCCAAAGTGTCTACAATCCTGGTCAAAAATTAAATCCTTGGCGCACTTAGTCGAAATAGCATAACCTTTACTTCATTTCTGATTACTATATACATACTTGCCCATTTTATGCAAAATTTCATGTCCAAACAGCTCTATCCCCCTTATCAATGTTGTGTAACACCTTGGACGTATAACACACTACACACAACATTGAACGGGGGGGAGGGGGGTTGCTATGCTTTTTATTGATGTGGGAGGCAAATTTCGCACAGTCAGTGTCAAGTGCGCCAACATTTTTGACCAGGATTGTAGTTAACCCATTAGGTTGCAATGCTCCCCAATGTGCCTACTTTATTATTTTACTTGACTGTCTAACGCCAGACGATTTTATTTGTGAAGGGAACAGCGCTTGTGCTCAATAGGTTAAGGATATGGTGATAGTTAATTTAAGAAATCAATGAAACTGAAAGTTAAGAAGTACAGTTGAACCCCTTTCAACACACACCTCTCTTAATTAAGCGGATCCCTCTTTGAAAAGTATCTCCATGCAATCCCATCGTTAATCAAATACTATACCTCATTTTAAGGCGACACTTTTTTTACATTTACTTATCTGCGAGCGAGCTCCCAAGAGTGTCCATTTAATAATAATTTGAGCAGTCATCATTACTGATATACAGGGTTTATCAAAAAAAGTAAGACAATTTTGAAATTGCTCTCAATTCCACAATTCTGTTCCTGAAATGTAATTTTTGCTATATATGGATTGCTTGAGTTCTTAAATTATGGAAAATATTAAAAATTTTGAAAATAGTAAATTTTGCTATCCAGGGGGGTGGTCAACTTTTGCTCCCCTAAAAGTGGCTTGCGCACGGAAATGATAAACGGTATTCTTTATTTGAGTTCATGTATGAAAAGTTCGCTATTTGTTGCATTTATGATAAAATTTCGGCAGGATTTTACCGAGTACAAATCCTCCGAAAAACCTATGAAAATGTTCCATTTTTTTCTGTTGGTGCTGTTCTTGCTTCATTATGAATTCATTTTTATTCCCATGAGAGTTCCGTGGAATTTCCATGGAATTTGTGCTTTCGAGTTGTTTGTGCTGAAACGCATTTTCTCGTATAATACCCCGTACACTTTGAAATGGCGATGCCACAATTTACCCCGCAGCAGAGAGCTTTTATGGTATCAGAGTTCCTCCGTAGCAACAACATAAACTTGGTTCGCCAAAGTTTCACGAAAGAATATCCAGATGTACGATGCCCTTCACGTGCGAATACGTAGTAAAAATGAATTCATAATGAAGCAAGAACAGCACCAACAGAGAAAAATGTAACGTTTTCATAGGCTTTTCGGAGCATTTGTACTCGGTAAATGAAATTGTGAAATTTTATCATAAATGCAACAAATAGCGAACTTTTCATACATGAACTCAAATAAAGAATACCGTTTGTCATTTCCGTGCGCAAGCCATTTTAGGAGAGCAAAAGTTGACCACCCCCCTGGATAGCAAAATTTACTATTTTCAAATTTTTTTATATTTTCCATAATTTAAGAACTCAAACAATCCATACATATAACAAATTACATTTCATGAACAGAATTGTGGAATTGATAGCAATTTCAAAATTGTCTTACTTTTTTTTATACACCCTGTATATTGTACAGTATCAGTGGTATGGCATTTGCAAGTGTTATCAGTCTCGCCAAGTGTGATATCAACAGTCTCGCCTTTGGTTCGACTGATAACACCTCAACTTTCATAATTCAGTATATCACAAAAACCTCATCCAATAACTGTGCATGTTTACTATTTAACATGAACAGTACAATAATATTTAATCAATATTTACATATTATTTTTTCTTAATTAATATTTCTATTCACAAAGTTCTTGGCAAGTGGGGGGAGGGGGAGCGTTGCTTCCGCCTAAACAAAATTAATTTTCCGAATATTATATTTTTCATTACTGATCTTTTGGACTGACGTACCGTTACAGTTTAGTTTCTTTTTTTAATGTTTCTGTAAACCCACCTCTAGCGCCGCCCCTGGATGGCAAGTTCGTGTGATAAAAACAATCTCGTTCCCAGAGCCTGCGATCCTCGGGAAGGAACGTGAGGCTCTGGGATAATCCGTTGCCGGAAACCAGGAATCCTGACTAAGATTGAACTACGCATTCCATCTTTCAACGGCCAATCAGATTCCTCCCTGAAACGGGTTATTCCAGAGCCTCGCGTTCCTTCCCGTGGATCGCAGGCTCGGGGAATGAGATTGGCGATGAAAAGTATCTAATAACTACAATTTGCGACTAAACATCTGGCTGGACTCGGAACCTTGAATTTTTTAAAGAATTTTTTGAAGAAACTACCCATTTTCATAAAAAGTTTTAATTAAACAAATCTTGCCTTATATATTCCTTCAGTTTAGTGCATATTTAACAATTATCTACTTCATGTATATAACTGTACAAATGCGTCCATTATTCAGGTTTCTACACGTCACTTAATTAATGTTTTTTAATGTTATAATCAGATTCGGCAACTATTTGAATACAACGTAGCGCCCAGCGAGCGAGAACTCGAGTCCAAAATGTGCTATTGGACGGGAAACCTTAAATACTCCAAGTACCAATAAATTTGTACACGTTCTAGTGTTTAAGTTTTCACTAGAAGTTTTTATTCTTCAATAACATCATTATCCGCGACGGCAAAGCGAGAAGCCATTGTTTTTATTTATTGCTATTTAATTAAAACAAGAAACTTCCCGCGCTTGCGTCTCAGCCAATCAGGTACAAGTAATTTTACCCCGAATTAAGAAAAAATGCCCTCCTCATTAGCCAAACATATTTGAGTAATTTTTCCCTCTATATGATTAAGGTAAATAGTAGTAGAAACTTGAAGTTTTGAGGTAGGAACTTCTCGAATTTTTGGCAACTTTTTGGCATTTTTCCCTGCAACTTTTTGAGATTTTCGGAACACAATCTGGACATGCCTATTTGCCACAAGATTCCCCAATTAATTATAGCTAGGTAAAATTACAATAATTTTAACAATCGAAACAAGCTAATTAAACATCAGACAAATTTACAGTCGATGTAACAGACAATTGTAAATAACAACTTAAAACTCCATCAAGTTAATGTACAACATTATTTTTCACGACTCGAAGGTACGCCTCTACACTTTCTCCATTTATAAGACGTTTGAAAATGATTTCCCTCCCTCCTAATGCCGGGTGTTGCGGGTCATCAGGTTTCACGGCTATATAATGACCATAGAGTGATTTTCCCACGGGTTTTCCATTGACAAGCACTCTATATAGAACTACTGGTGTGCTTAGATAGACGGATATATTCACGGGCCGACTTCTCATGTAGAAATACTCGTTAACACCATTATCTCCGCTATATATGAGCACTTTTGAGGTGTTGTAGTTTAGATCAGGAGAGCTGATACTTATATTTATATTTGAAAAGTTCGCCCTATCGATTTGGGCCATAACTATGCACTCGGCGCTGACATGTCTGATAGGACCTTCGGTCAAACGCACGTTTTTCTTGAAGAAAGTATAACCATACGTTTTACTTGGGCTTGCTGTTTTGTCTGTAAATCGTACCACATGAGCAGCGGAATTTTTATGAAGTACTTCATAAACTGGCGAGTCAGAGATCTGGGCTTTTCGAAGGGCTTCTATGCTAGCAACATCGGTTGCAACGAGTATCGCATATTCATAACTTGCTGAAACAGGGTTTATACCGTGATCAAGCCAGACTGTTGCATATCTAGCTTCGGTGGGCGTTTTACCATTGGGTGCCTTCGATTTTTGCCGACTGATGGCGATGTTTGCCGATGAGCCTTTCGGAATGTAATATCCATTACCGTTCGTATCCAATATGGCGGCGGAATCGTACAGTATTTGAGAGAAGTCATCCCTGAGCAATTTCATTTCACCATTAATATAGATAACTGTGATACTTGTGGTGTATTTATCTTGGAATAAAGTAGTTTGAGTTCGGTACGGTTCGCTATTTGCCGTACTAATGTTACTGCCGAGACAAACTATTAGGGAATTGTAGAAAAATACCGATTTTGTAAAATTGAATTTCATCTTTTCAAACGCAGCGTCGTCATTTCTCACTCGCGTAAGGTTACGAATGTCTTCATTTTGAGTTATCTGCTCATCGTCTTCCTACAAAAATGAGAAATCTTTATTACTTATTCAGGCCTGCATGCCAATTATTAGGTGTTGTGAATGACTTGAGGAAGACTACAATATAAAACTATCTGCCGCGAGGCCTAAAGAACTACAGTGAGCTCAAAGAATATGAGCTTCGTTTAGAAGAGCCGATCTTAAAACTAAAACTACATTCAGAGCGCTGTCGCTCAGCTTCAAATTGTTTTCATGTGGGAGGAAGATGATCAATAATGCTTATTTGAGTGTAATACTAGTTTCAATTTTTACGTTACATTAAATCAAACGAATCTCATTTGCCACTGCACTATGCATACATTCAAAATATAAGACATTTGCCACTTCCATTTCAGAATCATCATCAGAGATATGAAAAACCAGTTTCATATTTAAAAAGGGCACTTACTCCTGGGCCTTCAATTTGTGGGCGGGAATGTTCGTTAATATTTTTCTATACGCCGCCGGGGTAATTAGTTACTTCTAGCTAATATAGTTAGACAAATTTCAGCATTGATTGGAACATTGTTGTTCATTGCATAACGCTAAAGACTAAAATGTATTGTATGACAGTTTGTCAATTATTTAGGGAAGATTCCTTTTCTTACGTTTTTCATAAAGGAGGAAACTTTGGTAGCTAACGTTTTCGGGGGAGCTACGGGGGGTGTGGGGTGAGAGAACCCCCCCCCCGAAATTCTATCCCAAGCTTCAGTCGGCAGGACTGCTATTTCAGTCGGCAGACAAAAATATTATTGACGAATAAAACTACTATCGATATGATATTCACCTGTTATATAAGAAACAGAAATTTTGGTCACTCGAAATTTACTCAGCAGGAGAATCATTATAATCGGTTTATAATAAAACAAGCCCAGATTGACAGTTAAACCACATAGCGATACAAAAGATCTCAAATGAAGTATATGTAGCATGTTTGATAGGTAGAACCGCTGAACACAATATATTCCCGACAAAAACTCAATTATCAAATATGGCGATTTAGAACAGGCTTCATTTAGTGCACAACGGTCGTAACTTCAGGGACCGCGGAGCAGGGGGGCAACAATTTCCATACATATGTGATTTTTATAAACTACGTATACAAAAATCTTTCAGATCAGTTATCAAGATATTTATAACTTACATAGCCAAGTATTTAATCTATTTCTGATTGGAATAAACAAATGACGGGCAATGTTAGGGTAAGAGTCGTCTATTAAGAAAATTTGCAACAGCAACTAGTCAATTTGATTGCATTCCCGGGGATCTGGGAGGTCTCAGATTTCACAATTTCCCGGGGAGCATGTCCCCCGGACCCCCCTAACAAACTCACGCCTTCGGCTTTCGCTATAGCCCCCTTAACCCAAAAATGGCTCCGCGGTCCCTGAAATTAGTTGACCTCCATCGGAAATTTTACAAGCTTCCATGGCTAGCATGTGTTCGGTACAAGCTCGTTCGTCAGTCGGTTGAAATGACCTTACACCCCTCTGAAAAATTACCTGGGGACTGCCCTGCATGTGAATAACGCACTACTTTCGAAATGTAGGTCTTGTAAAAAAAGGCAACTTGCTGCCCCCGTACTAGTTCGGCAACCAACAATGGCGATGGCAGAAAACAAAATGTCTTATCCTTTTGTCAGTATTCGAGTAAAAACATTACTAAACATTTAATTAAAAGCACTTATCTTCCTTTTAAACAACCCTGAAATCCCCTAAAGTAGCAATAGTAAGTGAATTCAAAAAACATCCCAAACAACTTGAACATTTTTCCACCTACTGATTTTTAATCAGTAGAAGCATTGTCAGGACCAGAGGCCCGTGTGTTTGTAGGTGTGTACGTCGGGAAAAGGCACATTTGATGACGCATCGATGTAATGCACTGCGACTCTGCGAGCATGGGATTGCGAGCGAACTGAGTCGGTTATCTACGGTTAGTTCCGCTGTTGTCCATAAATGGTTTAGTCAATAATACGAGTACTCAATAAAATGGTTTTGTCAATAGGCTAACACGAGCGGAGTGCAATACGAAGAATGCCGTATCACTGCGCAAGAGGATAACGACTTTGTATGTTCATAATATATCTTTGGTTCAGTGCACAATAGTTTTAGTAATGATCAACATTGTAGCAATTTATGGCCTTTGAAAGTCAAACGAGATCGTATATTTATATCAAATTACGCAATTGTTTGAACTCTTTCTCGACGACTTTGTATGTTCGTATCTTCAGTTCAGTGCTAGGTTAGTTCAGTGCATGCTATATATGAAGACATATAATACCACCATTCGATTCGGTGAAACAATAGCAACTAACTCCTCACAATAGTTTTAGTCATGCATTATCAACATTATAGCGATTTATGTCCTTTAAAGTCAGGCGAGATCGTATATTATCAAATTTAATACGCAATTGTCTGAACAAAAATATAAACTAGCCATAACTTTCGCCGAATAACTTAATTCGGCCCCGTTGGACGTATCTTCATTACAATATTCTTGTTCGAATCATTATCAATAACACTGTATGGAGTGTCTATATTATTTTCGAGCTTGTATGTTCAAATTTCTATCTTTTAGTTTTATCACCGTATAATAAATTTCCATCAGTGAACCGGAAATATAATTTTAAAACTCAACAATGCGACGTTTGTGCTATGACCAGAGTGCTATGACTCTGGAAATGCCAGAAATCGATTCCAAAAATCAGAGTGCACATCTATGTTTTATCTGCTCAATGCCTTTTATTTCCCGGTGCTACTATTCAGTAGATGCATGTCCGCCACTGCGGACCTATGTTTATACTCAGTTGGCGTGGTCATGATGTAAATCGTCATTTATTAGAAGATTGAACAACTACGGCATACTAGAATGCTTAATTAAAGGAATGCAGATTATAGTTGCCTTAGTTTGTTTTAGAGTTATTTCTTTGTTTTAGAGTTATGCTATTGTTGATGAGCACCGAGCACGTTCTCGTCGCTGTTGTATTTGTAATCTGTACTGTTTGGGCAACGTGGGCAGCTGTCCCCCCCCCCCGTTTCTCCCGTGGCTCTGACACTGCAGAGTAGGACGAAAGAGTCGCATCTTCGTGTTTCCAGTCCGCCGCTCTAGCCATTGAGCTAGCGAGTAAATGGGGATCGCTAGCGAGACTTATCCAATTTTAGTGCACAGAATATTATTATGACGACTTAGCGCTTGTCTTGGAGGACGCAGTATTTTAATTCTATTTCAGAACCATCCTTAGAGATATGAACAGTTTCGTATTCATTCTGACACTGCAGAGTACCACAAAAAATATCGACCCATTTGCCCATAATTTTGTAATCGCTATAGTACTACTAAAATAATCCCTGCAATGCGCTTCTCTTACGCGCATGCGTATTACGTACAGCTTTCTTTCCACCAGGCAAAATGTATCGTACGGGGACGTGTTCGGCTAGCGGACAAAATTCGTGCCGAAAGAGAAAAAACGGATTCTACTTTTTCGCGATTATTTTTCTGCCAATTTCGCCCAATTTTGTCAGTGAGTTTCGCAAATACAACCGCAACGTCAATGAGCACGTGATCATCGACACTATAATTTTACTATAAATTGTATTTTAAGTTCTTTGTATGTTTGCATGGCGATAAAACATATAATAGTTTTGTTTGTGGAAACATCACATAAATTTATTACTGCAAAGCTTTCGATCCGTAAGCCCGGATCATCTTCATCAGTGCTTCATCGGGCTTACGGATCGAAAGCTTTGCAGTAATACATTTACGTGGTGTTTCCACAAACAAAACTATTATAAATTGTATTTTCTTGACAAGTCTAGTACGCCATAGTTGTTCAAACCACGCCAACAGTTAAAAGTCTGTGTCACTGACTGTTGCTACTTAAGGGTTGTTTGTGAAGAAAGACGAGTACTTTTAGAGGGAAATAGGGTTGAGCAATGTATGCTTTGGCTCGCATGTTTCTGCCGTTGCTGTTGTCGGTTGTCTCGTTTACCTCATGGATAAGGGAGTTAAAGGTTGGTTGCACTCCCGCGCGAAGTGCACTGCACAATACTTACTGGTTTGCCATTAATAGTCCTTTTTCTGCCATACCCAGTTGTTATACCGTCTCGAGAACCATATAAAGGTTGATGAAATTTCATTGCAAAAACTCCATTTGCTAAACGTGGATCTTTACTGGTCAATACCACACCACCAACCAACTTTGAAGGTTGATAATACCTACCTGTAAAGTTCGGTATCACAATTTTATGCAAAATTAACTTTATTGTTGTTGTTCCTGGTACTCGTGTCCAGTCCCAACCGTGTTGAATGTCGTATGCGTTCAAACTTTCTTCGCTGTCTGATATCTGCAATGCACCATGGGATTGATATATGCCATATACATTCTCATTGCTCGAACTCTCAAAATCCCAAATGTATCGACTGAATCCTTTTACGGTGACTACCCAATGTTTACGGCGATGTATTGATAAAGCAGCAAAGTTGTGTACCCAATGACCCGTTTGAGGCTTGGCTGGCTGTATTTCCGCTTTCTTTACTTTTTTGTAGAGTGCCTGAAGTATTTGTAACGAGCCTATAAATAGATAGGCAAATAGATAGGGATATAAAAAGACAGACATATTAGTTAATCATCAATAGTAATAGTCATGACGATAGTGGTGATAACGATGATGATGGTTTTAATAATGATGATGGTTTTAATATAATAGTAATAAAAATGTATGAAGTTGTCCTTCAGCGTAGTATTGTAAATAACGTGTTGTGTTTCTGTTCAAATGAGCCCGACAGCTACTGTGTGTACCTTTATTAAAATGTATCCAGCTAAAAGCAGAGCAAGACATTTCAGGATTTGGATTTTATTTTTATAATATACAGCCAATTCAAAAAAGGTCCTTTGCAAACCTTAAACTCTAAACCTTAAACCTTAAACGCTAAGCGTGCAAAGGTTAATGGGAGGACAAGTTTCAAGCTTAGTAGTTGAACATTGCAGCTGTTTTTGAACGAATTGTTCATATATGATTTCTAAACTGATTAAATAAATAATGCTCCCATTGTACTTTGCACGCTTATAGTTTAAGGTTTAACGTTAATTTAGAGTGGTTTGCAAAAGACAAACTTTTTTGAATTAGCTGAATCTTACTTTGCTTTTAATTAGATAGTTTTTAATAAAGATACACACAGTAGATGTCGGCTTCATTAGAACACAAACGCAACAGTAACAATAATAAATATAGGGACCATACAGAGACAACATACCTCCGCCAATCAAATTCAAGTACCCATGCATAAATACACATGCGTTAATTACGTATTCAGTTAGTTTTAAAATGTCCGAACCAAAACCGCGCAAAAAGTGGCCTGAGACGAATTTCCGAAGCTACCTTAGGACCAGTGAGCTCCGTATATATTTGGAGTAGGAAGGAAGTTTAGCCATTCGACCTCCGAGAAAAGTGAAACCAAGACGGCGGAAATCGACTTCCAAAATCCATGAAGGTTGTAAGCAGTTTTTTATCCATTTTCCCCAACTAATTACAGTTATTCTGACGGAATAACTGCAATCAAGTTATCAGTTTATAAAGCGAAACACATTTTCTTTAAATCGAAGTCAAAACACAAAATCTTAGCATATTTCTGACAGCCTTGTATCAACCGCGCAGACAAAAACAATAGAAAGGGACTGGCACTGGACATCAATTTCCGCCGTGTTTGGCGTCGATCATTTTTTGGACGTGAGTTCTTGTACAGATATATATATGAAGCTCACTGCTTAGGAAGTGTATATGTGGAGCTATACTGTACATACCTATAGACGACATGTATTCATTTGCGATAAACAATGCTTGTCGTAGATAACATAACACTTTGGGATTTGTTGGGTCGTATAGCCGTAAAAACAGTCTTATCATTTCCGTGTCGTTGCCTGGTAAAACTTCCTGCAGCTCTCCAGTGTTGGTTAAATTTCGTGCACGAACCGAAAAAAATGCATAAGCTGGAAGCATTTTGATTAAAATCGCTTTGAAGTAAGCCGGGAAGCGACCAGAAATCGAATTTGGTAGAGAATATTTCGGCGCCATTCTTTCATATGATATTAACCTTTCACGGATGTTCACTTTCGAGTCGGTACTGAGGGCAAATGAGGTATCTTCAAGAAGATACCATATCATTGACGAGATGGTTAGTGCTTCGGGGCTATAAGAGGATCCGTAGATACCTAGGTGGTGAAAGCAGGATAGATCGAGTTTAAACATGGCCAGGAATGCCGGATGGGTTAACAAAGCGTTATTGCACCAGCGAACATAGGCAGCCATGTCACGTAACTTCACTCTTTGTTCATAAACGGTGCTTCCTGGGCTCATTAAAATAATTTCCAAGCGATAGAGAATAATTGTGCGTAGCATATCAGCCGTCGTACCACTGTATTCAAAATTGTTTTGATATATTTCACCTAGAAAGTTATACCATTTCATAGTCTTTAAAAATTTTCCCAGTTTCCCAGCTTTAGAGAGTTGTTCTCTTAGAAGAAACATCGAATTCATAAATCCGCTCCCAACTTTGTTCATTCCGTGATCCAATGATCCCATTGCACTCCCATGTGTCCATCCCTGATCCGTCATATACTCCAATAACAACATTATAGTGGCCAGTTTTCTTTGATTAAGGTTATACAAGCTCCGTCGAAAACGAACATGCGTTAACGGCGATTTAAATTTTCGTAACTCCGAAAGTAGGAATTCTGAGTATACCGAGTCCTGCTTTGTAATTCGTTTCACAGCAAATTCTCTTCTAACAACGCTGTTGATATTTGCTAGTTCTCTCCAGACAGTATCACGAATAGTACTTTCTTTTATAGAAAAGTAATACTCTAATGTCAGTGGAAATAATACTTGGAACGAGACGTCTCCTAATTTCTTGTTTCCACCTGTTGCGTTTTCCAAACCTTGTCCAAACTGAGATCGTTTGAGAAACAGTGGAGATCCTGTAATGACATCATCTTGACTTACAGTAATATTAAGCACTTTTAGATAACGTCTTGCACGTTGAAAACCAAGAATAACCACAGATTCCCATCGTTTCAAGACGTTTCCTTGAAACTCTCCTATTCGGACACCCTCTTTTGCAAACCAATTTACGAGTCGTTTTTCTATCAAATATATATCATTCAATTGTTGCATTTCCTTCGCTGATAATGGTTTGGTTCCATTCACTTCCGGTGGGTTTACCAAGCTCCATCTGTACGTCTGTTGCCATGTGAATGTTATATCGTAAATGTCGCCGCTGATAGGTGGAATTATTTCATCACGGGATTGATATATTATGTTGTCCGCGAAGCAAAGTAGATCCATGAAAAGTACTCGAGAAGGTATTTCTTGAACTGGGGCTGTGAATACGATTTGATCATACCCAGGTCTTTTTGGAAGTGATTTTGTTTCGCGTAGTGCTACCCAAGCCGCGCGCCAGCCAGTGAAATTTAATGAAAAATTAAACTGTATGACAACATTCTTACTGCGGTGTAGCTTAGAATCGATAAGCGACACGCTAAGATTAGCGGCAGAGCTCTCGTTTCGGTAAATCCACAATTTAATACCAGCATTGGAACCGTCCAAACGTTGCTTCCAATTTAATTTCAGTTTGTCCCCAGCTTCCCACTGCCACTTCATCGAGTGAAATCCATCTTTGTAATGCTTTGTTGACGTCATCAAAATAGAAGTATTGGGAAACGTGAAATAATCCAACTCAGAGGGATCTTCAAAGGATAATATGTGTGGTACCGCATCGATGTAGAGCTCTACAAATATGTATAGAGTTACTAGAGATCTGAGATAATGTGATATACTCTCTATATTAAACAACCTAGCTACCTAACTTATTTGTTTCATGGGTGTTTTAGAACCATCGCCAGGGAAATACAATCTCAAAAGTAGGGATGGGGGGAGGCAAATTAAGTATCGATTAAGTATCGCCAATAAGCGGGGGAGAGGCTGCTAAGCAATAAATTAGAGAGTTTAAGATCCTACGACGCAGCCGGCTCAATGGATTTCAGCTCAAGAATGAGCGCTAAGGAACAAATGGTTGAAGCTTTTTCAAATAACCTTACAAATGGCCGCTCATGCAATATTTGCTGCAATTTCTACCATACAGTAAGTAACACCTCTTGGATCGCAATAAGCTTTCAAGTTGCTCGTGATAATTCTTAGTTTAACGTTGTGTTGAGAGTGACAAAGCCGTTGAAAATACCCTTGGCACCATAAACTATTCACATATTTTAATAATAATAATAATAATAATAATAATAATAATAATAATAATAATAATAATAATAATAATAATAATAATAATAATAATAATGGAAACTTTATTACTTTCAATAATATATATACACACTACAATGATAAACCTCTCTTTACAGGTAGTTTACCAGTGTCTACTTGAATTAACACTCTACATAATAACAATATTAGTATGACATTAGTTGTGGGTTATCCCATTCTTTGTTACGCTTACAGAATATATAATACGAGGACCTGATACATATATTAATAATTTTCCGAACATAGTACTTTCTACATTGTTCATCAAACTTTAGATCTTAATAATAATAATAATAATAATAATAATAATAATAATAATAATAGCTGGCGCCAGGTATGAGATCAGATCTGCTGACGTTCTTTGAACTCTTGACTGGGAAAATTTGGAAACAAAGTGGTACTTAACCAAGGTAACATTCTTATATAATTTAAAGTCGATCATGTCTTGAGTAGTAGTGCTGCACCAACTCTGAAAGATTCATTCATAAGTAGGAATATTCTACTAAACAATTATAATCTTAGAAATTCACAAACTGATCTGACCCTTCCAAAGCCAAACAGAGAATTTCTCAAAACAAGCTTTAAATATAACGGTGCTTATCTTTGGAATAACCTCAGCTTGAAGCTAAGCAAGCTCAATCAATTTATATTATTTAAAATTTGTATAAACCAAAATTTTGATGTTAATAACCAAGTCTGGATTCGGTTAATCATATCTTTTCTGGGACACGTACACCATCGTGGATTACAGTAGCTTTTGATATATGTACATATTGTAGTAGACTTAGTTTCCTTCCTTTTTATATTATTTGTAATATTTTTTATATGGACGCCCCCCTTGGAAATCAACTTTTGTAGTTGTCGGGGCTAGCGTCGCTAAATAACGTGTGTATATGTATGTATGTCTTGCGACAACTTTCTTTGTTTCGAAAGCGCGTCGTTGAGCCGGCCGCATTCGTAGATCTCAAAATCTCAGTATTAGCTCGTTTGTAAGTGATTTACATTATAACGATCTCGCATCGGTCTCAGCTTATTTTTGGTTGTGCACATTCGGCCCGATCCAGCTCCGAATCGATTTCGGATCCATCTAAATCGCTAGTGTGAACCATCCATATAAGTATAAGTGAATCAATCATAAAATGGGAAAGGTCCGCGCGAAAATTTATAAAAGTGCACTTACTTTCCTGAAACTTGAATGGTGCAAAATCAAAAGTCGAAATAACTCCAAAGATTGGCATGCATGTCAGCAATATAAAAATCGTCCATGGTCTCACTTCCTACAGATAAAAGAAAACATATATATGGCTGGTTTGGCACATGAGTGGAGCAGCGTATGAATTAATATCGCACCAGTCTCACATAATGCGACAGACTCTGTCGAACTGTGTCATTAAAAAGTACGCGGTCTGAAACGGGCGTCGCGCTTGTAGTGTCGTGGACACCACGCTTGTCTTTCAAGTTGGGAGACTTGGGTTCAGTTCTTGATCGGACCTCCACTCAAGATCGTAAAATAATTGAGGAGAAAGCGCTACCTTTACATTGGCATCAGTAAAATGGTTTCGCGGATAAGGATTTTAAAATCGTAGGTACCTCGGATCCCTATCAATTGGGCGAAAGCCAACCTCGTACCCAGGGCCTTTGCGCGGTTCAGAAGCTCTGAAAGCCTATTGGGGAATCCGCTCACCAATGAGTCACTCAATAAACTCAAACCAGTATAATCGCTTCAAGATCGTAGACGTTCGAAGCGCAGGTTGTACGAAGGCTGGACAGCGCTTTCCATCAAATTTCATGCTAATTCTGAATCGTATATTGAAGAGCGAAAATAGTTGCAGAATTTCGATAATTGTATTGAATGAATTCCGGCACAGTCAGCCAAACGAAATTCCCTATAACGGTGTCACACGTTTGGTTTATGATCGGTTATGATTCCTTACAGCCTGGAACAATGTATAAGCGATAGGGATATATTTTGTCCGGCTTTTCGGTTCCCTATGGCTATGCGGAAGCTACAAAGAAGGCTAGTTTTTAAAATTCATCTTGCGTCAGCAGCGAAATAGCGCGCATACTGCGTTTGTGTTACCCAGGGGACCAGGGGTTAGCTTGAAATAGCGCGCGCTGACAGTCACTTGCGACCAGGGCGCTTATATATAGGGCGGTGCAACGCGCTGATTCGGATGAGTGATGCGGAAAAGAACTTGCACGAGCGTGCTTTTCGGCAAAAGTTGACAAGGAGCGTGCCATTTTTCTTGTTGTTGCAATTTTTCAATAACCAGGCTTTCTGGCATCCTTGTGTAGAAAAGTAGGACAAAAGTAGGACTAGAATTTTAGGAAAAGTAGGAATAAAGTAGGAAAATGTGTAGAAAAGTAGGACAAAAGTAGGAGTTTTGGAGATGCAAATAACACAAAATTATACAAAATTGGCGCCCTATGATATATGTGGTAAGGAGGGTAGACCATTAGATATCTGATGGGGAAGTTGTGTAAATTTTTGGTGCTCAATATTTTTATGTACTCATTCATCTATGCAGAATTTTTTTCTCAAAAACTTTTAAATTGCTTCGGTATAAAAGCTAAGGCATCTGCTCTGCAGCAACACAATTCAAATGCATGTATTGGGCTACACAATACACCAATCCACACTGCGGCAGGAGCATATATCAGGGCCGTAGGAAGCTCTTTTCGATTGGGGGGCCTGGACTTTGGGGAAGATTTGACAGAATTCTGATGGTCAGAAAACAGCGTTTTAGTATGTCGAAATTTACAATTTAGTAGTACTAAATGGGCGAAGGCGTATTTAATTAACTATATATTGGATAAGTTGCAGGAAAGTATGGGTAATATCTTCATTCTTTGCAGTTCGTCATGGATTAAATGATAAAGGTCTGCATGATTTTGAAAAAAAATGATTATTAGCAAATTATTGCCCCCCCCGGTTGCTACGGCCCTGTATATATGATGCTTGATTAACTGAGGGGGGGGGGGTAGTTGAATATTTGGAATCTCTAGATCGTCGGAGATGGCACTTTCAGAGTCTTTTATTAATTGATTGATTATGATTCTAGAGATGCTATTAAATTATATACTCGGAAAATGTACTTCTTCTCCTCCTGAGATCTTATCATCTGGGACACAAATAGGGAATGAAAATTACGAGTCCTATAGATCTAATTACGAGAGCCATAACATACTGACTCCCCAAGCTGTCTTAAATAAGTAGGATTTTATGAGAAAAAGTAGGAAAAAGTAGGAAAATCAAGCAATTTTTAACAAAAAATAGGAAAAGTAGGAAAGTTGAAGAAAAGTAGGAAAAAGTAGGAAAAGTAGGATGGCAAGAAAGCCTGAATAACTACTATATATTCTTGAGGATGTTTTTGCACTGTAACGGCGAAGTAGCAACTATAGTGAATCGTATGAATGCTTGTTTGGCCTGTATACCTACTAATTTTGAAAGAAATATTAAGGATAATACTGAGTTGGGTTTTTGATGACTTCGATGGAGGGAAAATTTCAAAACAGTATTTGAGCATGTTATCATGTCGTCCAAACTACGAAATTCAGTTGATGGTAAAGATTATAATTAGTTACTTATCTCCAAACGTTTTCATAAAATTCGGAGTTGAGCGTTTGAATACAACGCGCTGGAAAGTGAGATATTTGTGTGTGTGAAATTTTGCCTCGTTAATAGACCATTATTTCGCTGCAAAAAAGATAAACAACAATCGTATTTTGGCTATGTCATGATTTTTTTGTTACTATGTTAATAATTTTATATGACTTTTATTAAAGACCATGTAAAGTCCGTTCTGCGCATACGTTCTGCGCAGGCTTACATTCCAAATGGTCGGGACCCGACCGTTGGAATGTTATTAATATTTCGTATATTTTGAACTTTCTTGAATTGAATCTCTAAGTCTGTATTCATTTACAAGCATAGCGAACCAGAAGAGTGTCAAAAATTCAGTATAATATAGATCATTTTACAACTGTAGCACTGAGTTCAAAATGTAAACAAAGCGTTTGTTTACATTACGGACTTTACATGGTCTTTAAGGCATTTAATTGATTCGAATTCTTTAAAATATTTGAGAACAAAGTTCCTTTACGCCTCATGTAAATAATATAGTTTGTGTTCAATCTATAGACCACAGTAAGACTTTTTTAAATGTGTTTATAATTACTGATGTGTTATTACTAGGAGTTACTATCGCAAAGAAAGTGCTACCTTTTTGCCACATGAACTGATGCAAAAGTTTATACTTCTAGACATCTCTAAAGGGAAGTTTACATTTGACCCAATGGGCTCATTTCCACGTTTCATCATTGGTATACAGCATGGCAGGCCTGTATAGTGCAGATGAAGGTTATATCCCCTATGTTTCCTGCACAAA